ATTCAGCTTTCTCGCTGACAGTATACGGTGGAAGGAAATGAGCAGGGCAACCGTCCATTGATTTGAAAAGTTCACTAAAAACCACTGATACAGTACCAATCCAAATTGAGCAATTCGAATAGGGCGTAAGGCCTACTTACAGCTCAAGCATTTCGTTGATATGCATCTGGCACACAGCAATGAGCTCACTCGCAAACTTCTGAGTTCTGTCCGACTCAATCGAGATGTCAACGAGGGGAGGCTGGCAGGTGAAAATCGTACACAGCGCTTCCAAACATCCACAACGGTCAAGCAGTGCCAGTACATTGAATTCGTTCATTGCACGCTCTAAATCATTAATATGTACTGTTTTGCAGAGCCTCCGCGCCTGACAGCGCAATGGCAGCACTATTTACCCTCTACTGTTCACATGTCAAAAACTGGCCGGAGTTTAATAGAATTTTGTCCAGGTCTAAGGATTTGGCTACAATATTGGCTTGCAAACACGGATCTAACATCAGTTTAGCGCGAAAATGGCTGCGCCCGCGCCACAAAACCAGCGTTTCTGGTGCCATTTGGAGCCGGTACGTATGACGTAGGCGCCAAGTGTATGCGCAATAACGATTGTGATATTCGTGTTCTACGGGTCGAATTACTCGAAGGCAAGTTTCTAGCCAAATCCACAGTCATGGACGAATTTCGATCAAAATCCGGCTCAGTTCTTGAGGAGTGGGGCAGTAAAGGGTAAATAGTGCCACTTTTATACACAATCGTCATGCTTAGGCGTACTAACGATCAATTGAAAATGGTGACCACCATTATTCAAGACATCGGTTCTGTATTTTTTCGACTATGAAGTGAAACTATGCACGCAAACATCGTATAATCTATCGAAATAAACCAGCATCCGCGAACCCTCTTCATCTACTGCTACATACACAAACTTTCCGGATTGACGTAGTAACGTTACTGGCGCAGAATAGCCAGACATTTTCAGACTTCCTCTTACACACAGCTGTGAAAATAAGGTTACCAACTTTCTTGAAGTGTACCACCCTCGTATACACAGTACTACAAGCGTTTTGTAGATGGATACACTACTTAGCAATGTACTGGCTCGTTGCCTTCTCATCACCAAATGCGTGGAAGCATCTTTGACTCTTAACCAGGCGAAACTTCCACCAGCACCCTGATAAGGGTGCAGACTTCCAATATTAGCTAACCTATGCTATCGAAATCTCTGTCCTCTTATGACACTACGTCTTACACCGTAGTCTAAAGTTGTCGAGAATAAAATGTTTATTACGACTTCAATCCGACATGTATATAACCCCATGGCGCAATCCACATCCATCTTCCCTTCTCCTACACAGAGTAGTTTCAATTGGCATCTACCGACCGACATTTTCAGGACTCCAACATAAGAGGTGGCCACTACGAAAACACCTCATTGAATAGAAACAGAAATCCTAATACTCCTCCGCCAATTTTAGACCAGCTCCGTACATTACCGTACACTTGTAGACGATAACTTTACTTATCCCTGTTGCCTGACCCCTATTTCCTCCAGGCTTACGACATAAACAAATACAATTAAAATGCAAGGCTACTATCTCGTGTAGAATGAGATTTTCGAGAAGCTGTAAAACCTACCTATCTGTGCTACGAACACTTCTCGATAGCTGCACATTAACGAAGAAAGTGATACTCCAAGTACTCCTGCACACGTATTCAGCATGGCCAACGTCTAAAAGTAGCACTTGTAATAAAAATGGAAAGGTTTTCGAAAAAGAAAGAATACCTACTGTATAATACTTCATTCGGAATTTAAAAAAATAGATCTCGAATTTAGATTGCTGTCTACTATTTAAACGTATGACCATCAACATTCGCAATTTTGAAGTAAATTCTCGCATGAATTAGCCAATTCTGCAGGAAAGAAGGCTTGGTCGGCACTGCCGGGACTTACCCTCATTTTAGAACTACGATAATACCTCCAGACAACTGAAATAATGGGTCTTCATGAAGCCTACCTTCTGTCTTACGTGTTGGTTCCCGCTGAACAAATGATTTGCAACGCAATTCATAAACACGGATACTTTCGGATCGTTGATGTTACAACCCTGAACAAAGAAAATGATGATAACCCAAACACTTAAATAAGAGAAAGGTACTCACGGCAAGACATCGTTTCTGCAATTTTTCTATGGCTCCTACAGCCATGTCCACGGCACCACAAGACACCTGATCAGTCATTCCAATGAGAACCTGAAATCATTTCGGCTTCTTTATTCACAACAAGTATTCAATTGAAATTTGGAATGGCCGGTAGAAATACCTCAATCAAGCTTTCCATGAATCCGCTCATATTGGCGAGAACCACGGAGTCCGGATAATTTTCTATGAAATACATCAACCCGCTCGCTCCTCCCAATCGTACGAACCACGAAGAAGCGTAACACAGTGCGCTCACGCTCTCTATCAAGTACCGCACAAACGGTATTCGTGGCATCTGGAATATGGTCATCTGTCTGCGTTTCATGAGAGCTGGTACAACAAATAATTGAAATTACCACTTCCAAATCCGGTATCACTACTCGACACACGTCATTTATGTGCCGCAGTCCTACGATGGCAGACTGACAGAAATCCTTGGTCGAGTCAGAGCGCCGTAACTATCGCATCTACCAGTATACCGCCATCCATGCACTGAGCCGGGTGGTCTAACGACATGAGAGCCGCTCTGCCTGCAATTTCTCCGCCATGGCTCTTACATTGTTGAACAAGGAAAGGCATAATGTACTAGTCAATTGTACAGCGGCTTCACAGTTTGTTTTCGACACAATGAATAAAACAGAGCTCAGAAAGACACAAGCAAAACGCTTTTTTCAGAGCACGTTACATGGATGGGTCAATTTCATTTGGCGTACCAAGACTTCGCACAGACCGCATGTAAATTGATACCGTTTTGCTCCAGTCCTGTATAGCGAGAAGAATGGGAAATGTTGAGCAAGTGGCAAATAATCACCCAAAACTGTTACTCGCTACCTCTATATGACTCAGCCAATTGGGCCCTATTCTAACCGACATGTCATAACTGTTCCCAGATTGCAATATGGCTCAGCCGTTTTTTCACCCTGGAAGGTTCCCGTTACCTTAAAGGCACATCCCACGAATTGGTAGGGAGAAATGATGGTAATAAAAATGATTATAGTTCTGGATATAGGTCTACCAGTACTGAAAAAAAAGCATAGAAAAAGCTGCAAAGAGCTATGGAGATCACGTAGCGGCACTGATCCTATGGACGGAGTGTACCCTGCATCTATTGGAGTCCCATTGGTTAGCCGTTCCTGTGATCCCTTAAAATACGGTAAAGTACCGTAATGATATGAGACCAGCCAATAAAAATCTTATCCACTCTCTTTCATCACTGATTGACAAATCACCACAAATATATTTTCATTTCATTCCATATCTCCCGCCTGATTCTAGAGCGCCAACTTGTAACATGCCCCTACCAATCTGCAACTATAACAGGGGCATAACCCTTCTAAGAGAAGAATGCGCAATGTAAAAGTACTAATCCAGTATAACACTACATAAGCTGACAATGGTCCAGAATACATAGTTCCTCGATGAAGCACAACCGAATAAATCGACAAGCTGAAACGGAAAACCTTTCCGAAACCCGAATAATACTATAAATTCGCCAATCACCGCTGCGAGAAAAAATAAGAATATCTCAAATCATATTTACCGGT